CCACTAACAGTGTCAGCGAGAAAGATGTGGAAAATCATCTTCACATTATTGAGGTTTTAAGAAAATACCTTTTATTTCCACGTATAGACGTAATGTCCTCCTTGAGCTCTAGAGACAAGACTAAGAGACAGATTAGTTGATGCTGACGCCACAAACACTCAGTATGAAGTCAGACTGTGTGTGTGTGTGTGTGTGTGTGTGTGTGTGTGTGTGTGTGTGTGTGTGTGTGTGTGTGTGTGTGTGTGTGTGTGTGTGTGTGTGTGTGTGTGCAGCTGTGAGTGGAGCGTGCCACAGGGGGAAATATACCCTTTTATAAATTCATTGATTTTATATTAAACAATATTTCTTAGCAAAGGAACTGTTAGCAAAGTGGAATATAAATGATATCTTTTCCAATACAGATGTTCTGTGATATTGTTCTGTGTTCTTGCAACTCAGTGTTTCTATAGTTTAGTCATGATACTTTTACTTACATCAAATATATTTTGTGAAGTGGAAAAAGAGCAATCGGATCCCATTGAGTTCGTGTTTGTAAAAGTCAGAATCTCATAGTTAGAGAATTTCTATTTGATGCAAATGTATACTTCTACTTTACGGAGGAAGATCAGGGCCACATGTGAAATACTTGTTGAGATCTGAACAGAAGTGATAACATTTAGAATTCTGGAAAAAAAGTCTGAATTCTGTGTTTACTTCCTGTCTAAAGAAGTAAAGTAAGTAAGTAAGTAAAACTTTATTTATATAGCACCCTTCTCAACACGAATGCACAAAGTGCTTTACAGTATACAGTACTCAATTCAAAGTACAACTATAACATGTAGAATAAAAGGCATAAAACACAGCAGGTAAAACATAGGATAAACTCCAATGAGAAACAGCTACTAACTCACCTCCTCTGACGCCCCAAAGGCCTGTCGGAAAGGTGAGTCTTTAGCTGCCCCTTAAAAATCTCTACTGAGGCAGAGGCTCTCAGTTTCTGAGGGAGGTCATTCCAAAGCCTTGGGGCCACCGCCTCAAAGGCACGGCCCCCCTTAGTTAGTTTTTAGTAATCAAGCCGGTATGAAATAAAGGAGCCGTGTGGCGCTGTGGATAGAGCCTTGGTATGGGGATCAGATGGTCACAGGTTCAATCCCCACTGCAGTCAGCATGTCGTTGTGTCCCTGAGACACTTCACCCCAAATTGCTCCTGTGGGGATTGCCCACAGTATTGAGTATGTAAGTCACTTTGGAGAAAAGCGTCTAACAAGTAACATGTGATGTGAAGGCATGGATAGCCATCTCCATCCCTGAGAAGAAATGTCACTTATTGTCCGATCTCACAAACTATTTTACATGTGGCCCCTAATCATGTGTCTCTAATCCTCTTTTAGCACTAATCCTCTAGATCCATAGATTAGGGCCACATGTTTAAAAAAAAAAGAAATTGAGATTTGACCAAAAGTGTATTTCTTAAAAGTCAAAATTCTGAGAAAATTCCTTTTAAAAATGTATTCTGACTAACAAAAAAATAAATAACTATTGGTCAGATCTCACTTTTTTTTTCCAGTTGTGGCACTAATCATCTTCTGTACAACTCCAAATATTATATATACTTTTGACTCGAAAACGATTATTTTGGCAGCTTCAGTTACTTAAAAAAATAAGGTCCACTGGCCGTAGGACCCAGAACTTCCCTCCTCTACCCAGAGATCTAACAGAAGAAAAAGCCCTATGGGAAAAATAAAGCCACGAGAAAACCTACACTAATGGGGTCCTCCAGAGTTCACACACATAGTAGCAACAAAAGACATCAACAGATCCAAACGGCATCAGAAGGTTTGTTCAGGGGAAAAGGCGGGGCTCTTCTCCTCCAGCTTCTCCTTTTAAATCCCCAGCTGAATGGCATTAGGACACCTGGGGGAGGCGGAGCCAGGGGCGGACCAGGTGTACCTGCGCAGCAGAGAGACAGAGAAAAACAACAACAAGAGCACGTAACAACCACTACATAAATCCAGAAAAACTGTCAGCAGCCTTTAAGAGAAATCTATTCTCCACATGTGTTTTAGGGAAACAGATGTTATAATCCTTAACGCAATCATCAATAATCAGTCTATAAATCTGGCTATTGATGATATATGAACAAACCACTCAGAGTACAGATGGGAGTGAAACTCATTTTGATAACATTTTTTAAAAAGGCCTTGTATTATGAATTTACATTTTGCAGTACACAGGTAATTAAGTTAAACAAAATAGTAACTAATTCATAAGACCACTTTTTGTATAAACCAAAACTGACATGGATAAGTATGGAGGCCGACAGGGGCCAACGCACTTATTATAAACACGCTGCAGTTTCAAAAACGATGCAAATATAAAAACACAAATGTGCCAAAACACATGCAAAGAAGAATCCTCTTTACCATCTTGACAACACATGCAACGTTTACTAAAAGTGCTGCATTAATGAAACGCTGCACAAAGCTCAACGAAGACCAGGGGACAATAAGAGTTAGTCTGTCTCAGAACTGCATCTTTCTGACGCTGCTTTTAATTGATATATTCAGATCTTAAACTGCACTGAAACTTTGATTCATGTAATTTTTCTTTTAATGTTTATTTTATTATCTTTGCTTTTTAATGACTGTTTTTAAATGCCATTTTCTTAATGTCTTTCATTTTTGTAAAGCACTTTGAATTGCCTTGTGTTGAAAGCTGCTATATAAATAAACTTGCCTTGCCTTGCCTTGCCTTGCCTTGCCTTGCCTTGCCTTGCCTTGCCTTGCCTTGCCTTGCCTTGCCTTGCCTTGCCTTGCCTTGCCTTGCCTTGCCTTGCCTTGCCTTGCCTTGCCTTGCCTTAAAAGATGGATAACTGGCTAGATGACACTGAGGATGATTGTGCGAGCTGTGTTTTAAATAGTATGTGACTCTAAATGTGTTATTTATTTATTCATTCACTTGTTTTTTATTGGCTTTTCTGGTTTCAGGTGTACATTAAAATGCTTGTGTGTCCTCCCTGCTGTATTGTCTTCCTTTAACCCTTATGTTGTGTTCGGGTCTCCCCTGACCCGTTTCAAGTTAAAATTATATAATAACTACGCTCTAGTTTGTTGTATCGGAACAAGGCTTCATGATATCCTCCACAACAGCTATATAAACACTACAAAACTGATTTTGACCATTTTTGCCAAGTCTAAAGGTCTCTACAAAAAAGTGTTTAATTTGGTGTTCTGGTTTGGGGAGACCCAGCAGAATTGTTGGGGGTCACTCGGGGTCAATTTGGCCCAATCAAGATTCATCTTTGACTTCAGACACCCCTCCCCCACCCCCTTCATCAACTGTAACAATAATCTTTCGCAACATGCACCTGGTCTCCCCTCCCTCTAGTTTATCAAGATCAATATCAACATTTAACATTCAAACACTGTGTTCGTTTCTTTGGATAATGCAGCCATATATCCACTAACAGTGTCAGCGAGAAAGATGTGGAAAATCATCTTCACATTATTGAGGTTTCAAGAAAATACCTTTTATTTCCTCGATTAGAGTTAATGTCCTCCTTGAGCTCCAGAGACAAGACTAAGAGATAAATGAAATGATGCTGAACCCACAAACACTCAGTATGAAGTCAGACGGTGTGTGTGTGTGTGTGTGTGTGTGTGTGTGTGTGTGTGTGTGTGTGTGTGTGTGTGTGTGTGTGTGTGTGTGTGTGTGTGTGTGTGTGTGTGTGTGTGTGTGTGTGCAGCTGTGAGTGGAGCGTGCCACAGGGGGAAATATACTCTTTTATAAATTCATTGATTTTATATTAAACAATATTTCTTAGCAAAGGAACTGTTAGCAAAGTGGAATATAAATGATATATTTTCCAATACAGATGTTCTGTGATATTGTTCTGTGTTCTTGCAACTCAGTGTTTCTATAGTTTAGTCATGATACTTTTACTTACATCAAATATATTTTGTGAAGTGGAAAAAGAGCAATCGGATCCCATTGAGTTTGTGTTTGTAAAAGTCAGAATCTCATAGTTAGAGAATTTCTATTTCAGCAATCTGGCTGCAGCATTTTGGACCTGTTGTAACCGGTTTATTGATGTTTTGTTGAGGCAGGATAAAAGAGCATTACAGTAATCAAGCCGGGATGAAATAAAGGAGGCGTGTGGCGCAGTGGATGGAGGCTTGGTATGGGGATCAGATGGTCACAGGTTCAAACCCCACTGCAGTCAGGCTGTCGTTGTGTCCCCGAGACACTTCACCCCAAATTGCTCCTGTGGGGATTGCCCACAGTATTGAGTATGTAAGTCACTTTGGATAAAAGCATCTAACAAGTGTCATGTAAGGTAAAGGCATGGATAGCCATCTCCATTTCTGCATTGGATAGAACCCCCCTGCGAAGAAATGTCACTTATCGTCAGATCTCACAAACTATTTTACATGTGGCCCCTAATCATGTGTCTCTAATCCTCTTTTAGCACTAATCCTCTAGATCCGTAGATTAGGGCCACATGTTTAAAAAAAAGAAAATTGAGATTTGACCAAAAGTGTATTTCTTAAAAGTCAGAATTCTAACTACAGTAACAAAAAAAGAAATCACTTTTGGTCAGATCTCACTTTTTCTTTTCAGTTGTGGCACTAATCATCTTCTGTACAACTCCAAATATTATATATACTTTTGACTCGAAAACGATTATTTTGGCAGCTTCAGTTACTTAAAAAAATACTTAAATACAAGATCAACAAATGATTGATGATGCTTTTCCAATTACATAATATATACCTTTACGCACCATTTTGTGCTTTTGGTAAGTTACGTTTGTTTTGATGCTGACATTTGAAACAGACACTAAAAGTAATACGAGTTTGAGTTTATACATTAGAGATTCTGCAGCTTTTACACATCGTTCACCTCTTCTTCACACCTTTCTTCAAACTGAGGTAGAAGAATAAAAAAATCAGGATCATTTTCTGAAGTACAAAAGTGTTAAGTGCACAAATTACAAAATACACTTCATCGAACATGAAGATTTATTATCAACACACTTTCTCAGACTGTGCTATAAAGAGCAGGTTTGATGTGTAAATTGGCCCCATGTCCTCAGGGTTTCTTCACCACCTGTTGGAACAGAAGAAACACGTTAAAGGCGACAAACACACTTTCCTTTGCCCTGAAAACAGATGAATGAAGGGAACCCAGCGTGTGTTTTCTTACCTTTCAACATTTGTACAGCGTGTTCAGTCTGCTGATGTCGTTCCTGCTCATCTGATTGGCCGTGCCGAACTCTACGTTGGCGTTGGGGATCGGCACCATGGTGGGCATATTGTTCCCGCTGAAGGCATACCTGGAAACATTAAGAGCACAGGGGCTTCAATATTATTAGCTTGTATATATATTAAACATTTAGAAACCATTGAGACTCAAATGCTCCTTAAAGAGTCACCAAAAAAAAAATCTAATCTATTTCAATATTATGACGACATTTTTATTGTGTAAATCAGAAAAAGTTTTAATCCTGGTTTCACTCTTATCAATGTTATGCATTTAAATATTATGTATCATTATTATTTGCCAATTTTGTATTCATTCTGTTGCTGTAATAACTTCATTTAGCTGCTTTATTTAAATAAAAAGAAGAGATGGGCTGGACTATTCAACATTTATTCCAGAATTAGTGTTTTTTTTTTCAGAATTAGAACAATTTCAAATGTTTCTGAGTTCTAACTTTTTCACAGAATTGGACTTTTTAAAGGGGACCTATCATGCAAAATGCACTTTTTGATGTCTTTTATATATAAATATGTGTCCCCGGTGTGTCGGGGAACTCACGCAGTGTCAGAAAATAAAACCCTCTCTCTTTTCCTCCGTACCCAAATCTCTAAAAACGGGGCTACAACGGAGCTGATCCAGATTTGCTGCCGATATGACGTAATATCGGCGGCGGACCCACGGCACTATCAGAAAGTTGCTATCAGAAACAATGCCCGACTGTTTTGGACGTAATATGGTCGTGTTTACATTAGCATCGCTAACACTCAGAGCTAACCTGTACTGGAGAGCATGTGTGTGAAGAAGCAGGAAATAAAAAGGAACTCACCTTGTGGTATAACAAGCAAGAGAGAAAGCCTTTGAGCTCCATACTGTTTCAGAGATAATCCTTGATAATCCTTGATATGGCGTTTCATCACGGCAGTATTTAGTTTAGACAGTAGCTGCCGGGTCCCGCATGAGCTCAGACCCCCCCTTTTTTCTTTTTTTATCAATTCTTATTTTTTTTAAAGCTTTATACCCAGAATCAGCCCTTTTGAAACAGGAAGTGAAATAGAGGGATATGAGGCATGGCTAGAATGGGTGATCTGTTTGGTATTTTGAGCAAAACACTTCATAGACATGTTTTTTATGTATTTTTATATATCTGAGACCTATGCCTAAAAATAGCATGATACTGTAGGTGACCTTTAAAATAATTTTCAATTTTCCTCCTAATTAAATTATTTTCTCATATTTTAACTTTTTTCTCAGAATTCAAACTTTTTAGCAGATTTTGACTTTCTTCACAAAATGTCCCTTTTTCTCAGAATTAGCCTTTTTTTCATGAATTGATTTTTCTAATATTTAAATTTTTTCTCAGAATTCAAATTTACCCAAAAATATATAAATTCTTAATGTTACTCACCTGTCCAGGCTACCTGTAGTCCAAAGGTTATTTTTTCAAATAAAAACAGACCTTTTTGAAACATATTTAGCTATTTTTGGGTCCGTAGAAATACATTTGCACTTTTATTTCTTGGGCTCTCGCAATTCAAGCCTCAGTTCTGTCTACAATTCATTGTTTTGGGTGAACTGTTCCTTTGACTTATATCCATTATGTTTATAAATGATGATGAATGCTTGGTAACCTGTGGTACTGCATGACGGAGTTGTAGTCGTATGGTGTGTTCAGAGGCCTGTACTACGAAGCCGTATTTTCACTTAGCGGGCTAACTTCAGGGAAAACTCGGGGTTTCCGGTCCTACGACGCTGGTTCTCTTTTTAGCGGGCTAGATCTCCATAGTAACTTATGCTGAGTGGCTAACCTGGGGGGTATACTACGAATCTAGTTCAACATATCCTGGATATGTTTTGAGTTATCCGGTTGACTAAATAAAAAAAAAAACCCGCTCTCGCTAAACGGTCCTACGACGCTGGCTATCAACTCGATCGCTCAAGCCAGCCGTGTCCTATCTAGTTAGGTGCGCGTTCACATAAAAGGGGTGGTATTTGGAGTGTTCGACCAATCACAAACATGGACAAGCGTACTGACAGCGCATCGCGTCATATATTTCCTGAATGAAAAGTCAACTAATATTAGACAAATATGAAGACGTTAAACTTTAAACATCCATGACTTAAACACTTTATCCAGGATAAAAGCCACATAGTTGCACCTGCAAGGTGAATACTGCTGGTAAAAGAAAAAGTGTGTGAATACGTTCATTAACAGTTTTATGATATCACTGCTGCCCCGTCTAAGACACGAGTGGATCTGACTTTAATTACATTTGACTCGAGTGTTTCGTCAACTTAATGTGTTGCTTAAAATAATACTTCTGCATACAGTATGTGACACTGTGAGTGTTGCACGGCCAGATACGGCTCAAGAAGCTGACTCAAATAAGGAGATATATGATACATTATGATGTGATATCATGTGATATGAATGATAATGGGACACATCGCCGTCTGCACTCACAGTGCCGCGGACTGTATGCTACATAATGTTACTTTGATCCGGTTACTTATGTTGTGGCAGATATTTAAGTAAGCTTTCTTAACACTAATGTTATAATAGTCAGATTGCTCTGAAGATGGGAGGGGATATTCTATGAATTTTCACGCTCACACAGTCGGTGATTTTGGCCGGCCGTCTTTCCTGCAACGGCAGTTTAAACTGTATTTCCTTTCTCCTCCTGTCATATGAATTGATCGCTTTAAACTCCGCACACTGAGCTCTGATTGGTCAGCAGGCAGTGCTTTTATCCTGGAACCTATCCTGCTCTGGAGGATAGCCGTTCAGAATAAGTTATCTAGCCCGCTAAAAAGTGAACCAGCTTCGTAGGACCGGAAACCCCTGAAGTTAGCTTGCTAAACGAAAATCTTGATTCGTAGTATACCCCCCTGGTCCAGAGCAGGTTAGGTTGCAGGCTAAGAGCTCAACTCAGTGAAAGCACTGCCTGCTGATCAATCAGAGCTCAGTGTGCGGAGTTTAACCTGTTAGACCCCAAGCCTGTTTTTCAGGTCTCAGGCTCGAAAAGGACATTTCCAGAACAAATGACCATAACTACACTTCTAAAAGGGGAAAATTAATAATCTTTTTTCTCAAAGTGTGAGAAAATATGATAAACCTGTGAGTTGGATGAAAAGTCAGAATCAACAGATGTTTTTTATTTTAAAGAAAATTCAGATTGAACATAGTAAAAAACTGTAAATGATAGTGTCCGTCCAAAAATTATTTTTACTTATAGTGAAAACTACCCTTGGATGATGGTAAGGTAGACTAAAAGCTTTAGGAATCCAAAGTACAACATATAATAAGTACCCTGTATCAAGATTGATGCAAAACAAGTGACATTTGACCTTTTTAGAGAGGTTTAGCAAAAAAAACTCCACCTCTGAGGTGATTTGGGTGGAAATGGGCGTTTTTACCGTTTCTCTGGAACCCATTGGTCGATTTTGGTGATTGACATCTCTTTCTAGAGCCAATAGAATCGAAGGGAAGTTTTCACATACACACCAACGTTACCAAAAAAAGGTGGGGGCTTTGCGCATGTAATTTTGCATGAGAGTGAAGCTATCTCTCGCTCTGACATCTGGAAACGGAAAAGCAGGGTTTATTACTTATGGATTATCAGAAATCATTTCAAAGGGACACAGACACATTGGATTAACCTATGGATTAATTTCAGCAGCGCTTTTATCGTTTTAACGCCATTGAAGACCACTTTTGACCAGACAACGACCAAGGTAGCCATGTTGCCGGTTTTAGCTACCTAGCGCCACATGTTTTGATGTCTGTTCTTGTTAATATCTCCGCGAGTTCTTATCATAGAGTGATAATGTATGTACCGATCGATTCTGTGTCTTCTCACGATGCAAATCGATTGGTTGGATGTGCAGACAAGATAAATAATAAGGGTTTTATGAGTGAGTTTCTGTGCAGTAATGCGTTAGCATTTTTTACTCGTTGCTAATTCAGAGGCTGAGCGTTAGCATTGTGCGTAAAAAAGATCAGTTAGCTGAGTTTCTTCCCGTTACATGGATATAAAACATTCATAGTTTATTAAATATTAAGATGCCCTCAGACACTGTTTCCTGCAGATGACGCGTTTTTCCCCCCGGTACGGGGGAAGGTGCTTAACAGGTTAAAGCGATCAAGTCATATTACAGGAGAAAGGAAATACAGAAAAACTGCCTGCAGGAAAGACGGCCGGCAAAAATCAACTGACTGTGTGAACGTGAACATTAATAGAATATCACCTCACATCTTCAGAGCAATCTGACTATTATAACATTAGCGTTAAGAAAGCTTACTTAAATATCTGCCACAACATGTAACCGGATCAGAGTAACATTAAGTACAGTCCGCGGCACTGTGAGTGCAGACGGCGATGTGTCCCATTATCATTCATATCACATGATATCACATCATAATGTATCATATATTTCCTTATCTGAGTCAGCTTCTTGAGCCGTATCTGGCCGTGCAACACTCACAGTGTCACATACTGTATGCAAAAGTATTATTTTAAGCAACACATTAAGTTGACGAAAAACACTGGAGTCAAATGTAATTAAAGTCAGATCCACTCGTGTCTTGGACGGGGCAGTGATTTCATAAACCTGTTAATGTACGCATTCAAACACTTTTTCTTTTACCAGCTGTATTCACCTTGCAGGTGCAGCTATGTGGCTTTTATCCTGGATAAAGTATTTAAGTCATGGATGTTTAAAGTTTAACTTCTTCATATTTGTCTAATATTATAGTTGACTTTTCATTCAGGAAGTATGACGCTGCGCTGTCAGTGCGCTTCTCCATGTTTGTGATTGGTCGAATGCTCCAAATACCACCCCTTTCATGTGAACGCGCTCCTAACTAGATAGGACACGGCTGGCTTGAGTGATCCACTTGATAACCCGCGCCGTAGGATCGCTTAGCGAGAGTGCGTATGTTTTGGATTAGGCCAACCGGCTAACTCAAACATATCCAGGTTATGTTGAACCGGCTTCGTAGTACAGGCCTCAGGTTAAGCATGCTTATCTTGTCGAAGGCATACGCCCAACCTGAGAGGACGAGAATCACAAGGAGGGTCAGAAAATACAGAAAATGAACTTCACACCATTCCTCAATTCATTGTGAAGTTAGTTGTGTATTAGATGAGGATAAAACATTAAAGGGTTGATCAATACAGGATTTCAGAGGTTGTTAATACTCGATAACAGACCATTGCTAAGCAAAATAATGAATGTTGCTAAGGAAAATCAAGGGGGAAAAGAAAATAGACTAAAAGACGGAGCATTGGACCGCAGAGAAATCACGAGAAGAAGACAGAATATTTTTTTGGAATCTATATTGTGTGCCTTGCTGCACGTTATCCCCCTTATTACTGAATGTTTAAAGCATGGATGTATAATAAGAACAGTTTAGAGGTGACAGACCGGACTGGATGTTCTCCCACAGGATCCGGATGTGCTGGTCTCTGTCGGAGCGGCACTGCTCGTGGTTGAACCCGAGCGCGTGCAGCAGCTCATGTTGAACCGTGCTGTGATACAGGCAGCCCTGCCGGTCCAGAGACACCGTCTGGGAGTAGCCCCGACTCCCCACGTACAAGTAACACCTGCAAAACACACATTTTAAAGGTCTCCTATCATGCAAAATCCACTTTTTCATGTCTTTTATACATAAAGATGTGTCCCCGGTGTGTCAGGGAACTCACAAAGTGTCAGAAAATAAAACCCTCTCTCTTTTCCTCCGTAGCCAAATCTCTAAAAACGGGGGAACAACGGAGCTGATCCAGATTTGCGTCCGATATGACGTAATATCGGAAATGTGGGCGGGCTTTACACCCACGACACTATCAGAAACGTTGCTATCAGAAACAATGTGTGACAATTTTGGACGTAATATGGTCTTTGTTTACATTAGCAAGCATCGCTAACACTCAGAGCTAAACTGTACTGGAGAGAGTATGTGTAAAAAAGCAGGACATTTAAAAAAAAAAGGATGCCTCATGTTAAGCATATTTGTATAAGAACAAAGTCATGTTTCAGTTCATGTGTATGACATCATCAGAATGTGCCTGAGTGAAAGAAACGTGGTCATGCTAATGAGCATGCGCAGATTCAATAAACGGCCCCGTACTCCAGGCCAAACTCTGAGCGATGTGGTCGTGTGTGTTTTCTGTCCATAGCATACTTACAAACTACTTTGGTTGACTGCAAACGTGGAGACTTCTGCTGAATATAATGTCTCACGCAACAGGTTATGGGCCCAGTCAAGGAGGCCAAAGGTGGTTTAAGTTGTTATTCGACGGTGACGAGAAAAACTTTGAGTTATGGGAGACGAGGTTTTTGGCGCACATGGAACTGCGCGGCCTCAGTGAAGTTATCCTAGAAGAGCCAGCGATAGACTACAACAACGAACAAGCACTTGAAGAAGACGCAACAAAGAATGCAGAAGCATATGCTGAATTAGTGCAGTGTCTAGATAATAAGAGTTTATCACTCATTATGAGAGACGCAAAACGAGATGGAAGAAAAGCGTTGGCAATACTCCGAGAGCACTACGCAGGAAAGGACAAACCACGAGTCGTGAGCCTGTACTGTGAACTCTCTTCTCTCCACGAAGCAAGCAACGAGACTGTTACTGATTATATTATTCGAGCGGAGACTATATTCACGTCTTTGAGAAGGGCCGAAGAAAATATCAGTGACGGGTTGCAGATTGCCATGGTAGTGAAGGGGTTACCGGACTCATTCAACCCGTTTGTCGTGCACGTCACTCAAACCAACGACCGTCTAACGTTCGGTGACTTCAAAGCTAAACTGCGGAGCTATGAGAGCACTGACAAATATAGGACGAGTGACATGAATGCGGATGAGGACGGCGTTATGAGGACTAGCGGGGCAAGGACACGAGGACGTGGAAGAGGGAAGAAGATGGACTTGGCCGACACTGAATGCTACACATGCGGAAAGATGGCCATATAGCTAGGACATGCCCTAACGAGATCCAAGCGAGGCGAGAGGAGCGACGGTGGGACACGCCACACCGAGGAAGGGGGCGAGGCAGAGGGCTGGGCCGTGATCAGGTGAAGAAGGCAGACGGAGACACGGAGGATGATACCGGTGCATCATTCTTTTTCAAAATAAGTGAAATCAAGTAGGAAATAAGAGAGGTATTATGGTCGACTGTGGTGCCACAACGCACATGATTAATGACCCGGCAAAGTTTAAGACAATCGATAAGAGCTTTAGACCCGAGGACCATGTGATAGAGCTGGCAGATGGAACGAAAACGACCGGGATGGCGAAGATGAGGGGAGAAGCCGAAGTTGTTCTGCTCGACAGCGAGGGACGGCAAGTGAAAACGAGGCTCAAACGAGCGCTTTACATCCCATCTTTTCCACAGGACATTTTCTCCGTGAAAGCAGCGACAGCCAGTGGAGCTGAGGTCTGCTTCAAGGACGGTGATGATTGGCTGATTCATCAAAATGGTACCAAGTTTAAAATGGATGTGTATGGTAGGCTATATTACCTTAGCACAGTAGAGGATGAAAATACTGATGATGTTTGTAATGGTTGTCATGACATCCAGACATGGCATAGAATACTTGGTCATTGTAATTTTGAGGATGTGTCTAAACTAGAGAAAGTGGTTAAAGGTATGTCGATCAAAGGGAAACATGACATGTCTAACCATAACTGTGAAATATGTACGCAGGGAAAATGTACTCAAAGCAGAAACAGGCAGGCAGATGTAAAAGCTAAGACAGTACTGGAGCTAGTACATACAGACCTATGCGGTCCAATAGAACCAGCAGATAAAGACGGGTACAGATATGCAATAGCATTTACTGATGATTATAGTGGGATGATTTTTCCCTACTTTATCAAAGCAAAGAGTGATACAGCAAAAGCTACTGAGAAATTCATAGCGGATACTGCTCCATATGGACACATTAAGTGCATAAGATCTGACAACGGTACTGAATTCACCGGGCATGAGTTTCAAACTTTACTTAGGACGAAAGGGATAAGGCACGAGACAAGTGCACCATTCTCACCTCACCAGAACGGTACTGCAGAGAGAGGTTGGAGGACCTTATTTGAGATGTCACGATGCATGCTATTAGAGAGTAACCTCCCAAAGCAGTTATGGACATATGCTGTACAAACAGCAGCACAGATACGTAACAGGTGTTACTGTAAGCGTCTAGAGCAGACACCATACCGTGTTTTTACTGGCAAAACACCCAACTTGTCCAACATGAAAATATTTGGCTCTGAATGCTACGGGTATAAGCAGGATAAGAAGAAGCTAGATTCTAGATGTGCAAAGGGTATTTTTGTAGGATACGACAAATATAGCCCAGCATTCCAAGTATTTTATCCTGAGACAGGGAAAGTCCTGAAACATAGGCTGGTAAAATGTATCACAAAGAGTAGCGCAGATAGTCAGACTCAGACAAATCGTAATATGGATGATGACACTTATGGAGAAATTATTCCCACAACACCAGCAGGGACAAAAATGGTCAACCAGAATCAGAGAGAGCCTAATGTGGGTGTACAGTCCGATAGTGAGGAGAATATTGAGGCTAGTCAGATCCAGACAGATAGTACTCAAAGAGAACAGGGAGAGAGTGCACGACGCTATCCCACTAGACAAAGAAACGCTCCAGAATATTTATTGGAGTATCAGTGTAAGGCTGATTGTAATGATGAAGGTGAAAATGTAGATTATTTCTACAGAGTTGCTTGTGACCCAAAACATACATGCAGGCTGTAGGCTCTAAGAAATCAAAAATGTGGGCTGATGCAATGAAAGAGGAGATTAACTCTTTAACAGAGAATGAGACCTTCAGTCTGACCACACTGCCAAAAGGCAAGCAAGCAGTGGGAGGTCGTTGGGTATATGCAGTAAAGGAAAGCCCAGATGGATCTGAGATTTTTAAAGCCAGATATGTAGCTAAAGGCTATAGTCAAGTAGAGGGAATTGATTACAAGGAAACTGTTTCACCGACAGCAAATATGACTTCTGTACGTACATTGATGCAGGTGATTCATTTCACACACAGCATGCACACACAATACTACCCATGTTCTTTAGCTTTAAGGTTATTTGTATAGTTACATTTGAATGTGTTGTAAATACTGTACATGTTTAATGCTAAATTGTTTCTTAAAAATATTTATTCTTTATTTTCCTTATATATATTGTCGTGGCTTCCTTCCTTATTTTTCTATCAAGCCACTAGACGCCTTAAACAGACATTTTTAACTCGTTTTCTTTCCTTTATCTTTGTGTTACTTACAGTTGAAGAGTTGCTTGGCCTCCGATGATTTTGATGATATGATGCGATGTGTTTGCTCAAAATAAAATAACTAACTTGTACACATGCAACAAAGAAAAGAGGCCTTTACAATAGTCAAAACAAATAGGCAAAACTCAAATAAAATAACAAACAACTTAGGTGTTCTTTCTTTCTTGAAATATAACTTAATAACTTAAAGGGTAATTGAACGGTTAAAAATTGTTCCTCGACGGCGTCTTTCTGACAGGTTGCTGCCCATCACTGTCACTTAAAGGAGGCGCCGTGGGAATTGTAGTCTTTCATAGTGTGTTGACTACAGACGTCACGATTAGGTGGCCTTTCTTATAAAAACAAAATACTGGCTCTAACATATATACTTTGCAACTTATTTCTTTAGATTGTTTATGTTCGCACCACCAGATACCAAAGCAGATTCCTTGTATGTTTAAACGTACCTGGCAATAAACTTGATTCTGATTCTGATGCATACTCTCTTATGCTTTGACCTCTTCTGTCTGGCCTTATATGAAGACAATTAAAGGACACGAACAACATGGCCTCTCTTCTGCCTGAAAGTAAAAGCAGTCTTCCTTCAAAATAGAAAATGTTCTTTTGTTTGTGCTTCAGTTGTGTTTATTTACACTGCATAACGATCTTTAAAGAAGGATCACTGTGTAGATGACACTGAGGATGATTGTGCAAGCTGTGTTTTAAATAGTATGTGAACATAATGTGTTATTTCACTTGTTTTTCAGTGGCATTTCTGGATTGAGGCGTACATTTGAAACTTCTCATTAAAGTAAATGCTGATTTTCCATTTCCATTCTGAGGAAAACACAATAGTTTTAGTGGTGATGCTTAAATACCTGTGTCATTAAAGCAGTTCTGTAAAGGTGTGTTAGCAGGTCTCTCCATGTGAACTGTGAGGATGTGTCGCCCCCTAGTGGACAAACATCTACACTACATGCAGTCAAGATTTTTACTGTAGTTACATTCTGAGGTACTTTATTTTGATCTTGAATATGTTTTTATATATTAATTTGTCATTCAAATAAAGTACACTGTGTTATTGCCCCTGACATTCATTCTATCAGAGTCCTTTCTGTACAAAGCCATCGTTGTTCATTCATTAAAAGCCGAGCAACGATCTGCAGAATGAAGCTGTTAATCAATATCAACATTAAACGTTCAAACACCTTCTTCTTTTTTTGGAGTATCGGAAGAAAGAAGTGGAAAATCATCTTCACATTATTGAGGTTTTAATAAAGAAAATACCTTTTATTTCCTCGATTAGAGCGGAAATGTCCTCCTTGAGTTCTAGTCAACAAGACTAAGAGATACATTCAATGATGCTAACGCCACAAACACTGTGTGTGTGTGTGTGTGTGTGTGTGTGTGTGTGTGTGTGTGTGTGTGTGTGTGAGTGTGTGTGTGTGTGTGTGAGACCTAGCATCACTATCCTTGTGGGGACCAAAAGTTGTTTACACAGTCACGTGTGGGGACTCGCCTCCTTTATGGAGGTCCCCATGAGGGGAATCATTAATGTTAGGGTGAAGACTTGGTTAGGGTTTTGGGGAACGAGCGGCGTGGTGCACGGGCTCTCGGGTCAATATCTTTTGTTTAAAAACCTGTTTAAAAACTCCTGTAGTAAAACCAATAAAAGTTTATAAAAGCCCTGTTTGGTCCGTGTTAAAAAATGTTTAAGAAAATGCAATAAAAGGGATAAAAGAGAGCAGCGGCTGAAGCACAGAGCGTATGCGGCGGTGTTAAAACTTGTACTCCTGCCCCCCCGAGGGGGTCTCCCCCGGTGGGGTGTCCGAGGCTGCGTACCACAACATCTGGTAAAAGACCTGGTAAGTGGGTTAAAAACATCTGGCTAAAAGAACCGAGGTTGACTTTGTTTAAAATCGATGTTAATCCATGTGTGTGTATCATAGACTCTATGATACACACACATGGATTAAAATCGATGTTAATCCATGTGTGTGTATCATAGACTCTATGATCCACACACATGGATTAACATCGATTTAATACATTAATGTAGCCTTTGTTTCTGCTAAAAGAGGTGTCGACCAGCTAGGGCAACAAGAAAATTGGCGAAATCGAGTGTGACGATTAAAAAATAAATTAAAAACATCTAATTTTGACAATAAAAACCGACCAATAGGCGCGGTAGACCATTTACTTGGCACTTCCGGGTATTTCTCCACTGGTTGGGCCATGTTAACAATACCGTGTAACTGTCACGTTTGAAGGGACGAAACCGTGACATATTCACGTCTCCCAGCATGGTAGATCGTCACATGTTCACGTCTTGCCGTGATACCGGGTTGGTTGAACCGTGCTGTGATGGGTTGCCAACTTTGGGTACCTGGCTGGAGTGAGATTTTGATTTTGATCATGGGTTTAATTCGGTTTAATTGCACATATGCGCACGAAATGACTGCTATCGTGTCAGCAGCGGGACCTTAGCATATATATAGGATATATATACAATATATACAAATACACAATAATGGACACAGACTATAAAGTGCACACAGTTTCATTCACTAATGAAAGTCAAACATGTTTGTTTCCACTGTTTTATTGTGTGCCTGTCGCGATAAGCAATTCATTGACTTATCGTACGATAAATAAAAATGAACTCGATAACTTTTCTGACCTCGATAAATTGCCATTTACATGAGGATGTGACTTGCAGTTTGAAAGGATGTACTTGAATTATTATTATATATTATCATTATGTCAGTGGTCTAAAATGGTCATACAACGGTGCCGACAATATTATCGTTTATCGCAATAATTTCCGGGAAAATGTATCCAACAAAATTAATTATCGTGAGAGGCCTATACATGAAACACACACACACAAACAAATCTACAGACTTACTCCAAACTGCCAAATATATTAATTAACACACTCTCACTCTCATATACTCTTTGACTCTATTTTGGCCTAGTAGAACAATAAGCAGGAGACTTTTACTTTTTTATCATTTCCACTGGATCTTAGATCTGCGCATGCGCAATACGGGTCGGCAGTTCCGGCTCCAGAGTATTTTTGTTGGGTGGCAGTGCTTCTCAAACTTTTTTCAGTAATGTACCCCCTTTGAAACATTTTCTCAGCCAAGTACCCCCTGACCGACCCCGAACATTTTTGATAGAAAAAGCCTATATAAATAATTACAATATAGTGATGTTCCATCAGTGTGTGATTTATAACTCCTTCATGCATGAATTACAAGAAACAAAGAACATAACGACAGATGTTTAAGTAATAGTTATATGTTTAATGAACCAATGAACAAAATGTTATATTATGCAAAAACTATAAAATACAATAAACAAATATTATAATAAAATGTGCTGCCTGATGTGCTACCATCCAAAACCCCATGCATAAACAAGAAAACAGCATTAAATAAGCAGTCACAATGCATGAAAGGGTTAAAAACAAAACAAAACATTGTAACAAAAAAGTGCAATTACAATAAAAACTACGTAATAACACTGCAATGACACTATTAATGAGTTTTAGGTGCATTAAACTGCATTTGAAAATAGAAAATACAATTTAGTGTCAAAACATTGGCAAAAAAAACAAACAATTGTAATAATAAATAAATTATAAATTGCAATAACACTAACAAGTAATAATAAGAGCACTTCTGTGCACTTCTGTGTGCAAAGCAGTAGTTGGGTGTGTTCAGCTCCCATGTCCTCGCAAAGGCGGTGAAACAGACGCGCATTGAGTGGCCTTGACTTTATGAAGTTAATCACTTTGATGCTGTTGTTCAAAACGTCATGCAACACAGGACTCAGCTTTTTGGCCGCCAGTGCTTCCCTGTGTATGACACAGTGATTCCACTGCACTTCTGGATTTGTATCCCTAATACGTGCCATGAGCCCTTTAAATCGGCCCGTCATTGAGGCAGCTCTGTCAGTAAACACTCATGCAGTTTCTCCAGTCCAGCTCGTTTTCAATAAAGAAATCATTCACAACATTAAAAATGTCCTCCCCCGTTGTTTTCCCCTCTAAGGTCTTGCAGAAAAGCACATTTTCATAAATGTCGCCAGTATCAACGTATCTCACGAAAGCAATGAGCTGAGCCTTACCGCTGACATCGGTCGATTCATCAAGCTGGAGTGAAAATGTTTCTCCAAGTTTTCCCACAACTTGTTCAACAATATCTGCTCCCATTCGTTCTATTCTGCGTGAAACGGTGTCATTAGAAAGAGGCACCGTTTTGAACTTCTCCTTGCACTTCTGTCCAGCATCGTCTCGGCCAAAACAACAGCAGCTGGGAGTAACAGGTCCTCAGCGATCGTGAACGGCTTTTTGGCTTTAGCGATGAGCAGTGATACCGCATACGATGCCTCCAGTGCTTTGGCTGATGTTGTGGAGGCTTTTCGCATAATCTCTTGGGGGGATCTATACTCAGCAAGTTTTCTTTTGAAAAACTCCGGTGGCTTACCAACGTGACAAGCATTTTTTTTATTAACCTTTTTTATTGTTTTCTCTCGCGTACCCCCTGCAGTACCCCCACGTACCCCTAGGGGTCCGCGTACCCCCATTTGAGAATCACTGATCTATGGTAGGGCTAACCCATACAGTGGTGGGGCTCAAGTCAGTATTTGCAATGTAATTACATACACGCTCCCCCCGACAGTGAAACGCCACGCGTGAGGTTTAGATTATTTCCCTGTCTCAATCCAAATTGAACTGTATGAAATAAAAAGGCACATTTGTCTTGTAGTAAATAAAAAGGGCGACCTGGAGCCAATCCTGCAATTTCCCCACAAGTGAAAGAGTTGACATGCTGAAAACCCAACCTCTGCAGGGGGGTCTGGGGGGATTCTCCCCCAGGAGATTTTTTTAAATACTAACATAAAATACACATTCTGGTACTCTCTTGAGAAGAAAAATAAATAAATCTAATACTACACGACATATTTAAAAAAATAAATGCCATTTGAGTTTTCTGTGACTTTGTTCTGAAAGCTGAACCTGCTGCTCCTCACAGAGAGAAGAGGGAAGAGGCTGTGTGAATTACTTTACATTGTGGATAAGGGTGGATAGCCCCCATTGTTCTGTGTGTCAAAATGAAAGACAGCCCACACACCTATCAATCATCAAACCGTGGGGTCTTATTTCATTACGTGTTGATTTCTATCAACACGTAATGTTGTATCGATGTATAGAGATGTACTACAGCAAAAGTATTCTCCGTCGGGACTTCCTGCAACAACACCACGCCGTTATCGTGATTCTGATTGGCCAGAAGACATTATCAAAGATGTTCTATTGAGAAGACGATCACTACGTGACAAAAGTTTTCAAACCCGTTTCTAGTCTTCGGTATTCTTGTTTTTGGCGTGAGAATAGTTTGGGCAGCGTGAGAGCGTGAGATTGAGAGTGAAAGCGCGTGTCACACGCCAGATGCGTGAGAGTTGGCAACCCTGGATACAGGCAGCCCTGCCGGTCCAGAGACACCGTCTGGGAGTAACCCCGACGCCCCACGTACGAGTAACAGCTGCAACAAACACAACATTTAAAGGTCTCCTATCATGCAAATTGCACTTTTTCATGTCCTTTGTACATAAATATGTGTCCCCGGTGTGTCAGGCAACTCACAAAGTGTCAGAAAATAAGACCCTCTCTCTTTTCCTCCGTACCCAAATCTCTAAAAACGGGGCTACAACGGCGCTGATCCAGATTTGCGTCCGATATGACGTAATATCGGAAATGTGGGCGGGCTTTACACCCATGGCCCTATCAGAAACGTTGCTATCAGAAACGTTGCTACGTGTTTTGGACGTAATATGGTCTTTGTTTACATTAGCAAGCATCGCTAACACTCAGAGCTAACCTGTACTGGAGAGAGTATGTGTAAAAAAGCAGGAAATAAAAAAAAGGATGCCTCAAAATAGTATAATAGGAGACCTTTAAGAATCATAATCTGTTTTTTTGCAAAGTAGGTTTACAAATACGAGCTTTACCCGCCGTCTGATTGGATGTTCAGGAAGTTTCTCTGGCTCGTGCGTCTGACGAAGCGAATGCAGGAAACATCGTGGAAGGAAGTCAGGCCGCGCTCGATGATGGAGCGCTCACGAGAAGCTGAGGAGAAAGAAACAAAGCAGCTGTGGTTCAATGGAGGTCAAGGGTCACATTCAGGTTCTTAGACTTTTCCTCAGAGGTGGGAGAAGTACTCAGATCTGTACTTGAGTAAAAGTAGAAGTACCAGAGTGTAGTAATACTCAATAAAAGTCCTTCATTCAAAATGTGACTCAAGTAAAAGTAGAAAAGTATTATCATCAAAATATAGTTAAAGTAGCGACAGTAAAAGTAGTCATTGTGCAGATTGGTGCATTTCAGAATAATATATTATATGTTTTATAATGATTGATCATTAAAAGTGTTCTCAAAGCTGGTAAAGGTGCAGCTAGTTTGAATGACTTTGTATACTGCAGGGTAGCTTGTGAATTTACTCCAGGTGGAACTAAAGTCTGATTTAACACTTGATTATATTTCACATTATTAATCCAGATCTGTAAAGTAACTAAAGGGATTAAATACATGTAGTGGAGTAAAAGTACAAAGTAGCAAAAAATGGCACTTAAGTACAGACTGTTAAAGGTGATTTAAACCTGAGGGCAGGATTAGCTGAAAAGAGTCCAAGGAAGCTTATTTAAAAGTTAACAGCATTTAATTAAACAAATGATACGGTGATACAAATGGAATGTGTAAGAGTGGATCGGCTCTCCCGATCGCGTGGGGTACCGCTGCCTCCTCCCAGCTGTTGTTTATCGCGTGGCCGGGGTAGAGAGAGAGCGTTTTTTCCTGTCCATCATATGTTTTAGTCTATAGTCCTCTCCTATTGGCCGGTCTCGACGGGGGGCGGGTCTTCCTCCCGGGTTCGTTCCTCTGTGATTAATATCGCATCTAATAAGAGGATTTAGACGTTGTGTGTTTATTGTATAACTCCACAAGCCTTTACTCCTCATATTTCTTACAAGACCCATTTCTAACAGTCTGTTCAGGGAGGAGGAAGTGTTTCACCAGCTGCTCTTAAACAGGGACCATAACACAGCGTTGTGAAATATAGCTATACATCTCCAGATGTGTAAAGAGATGTCCTTTATGTATTGAGAAAATATTCCTACTTGTGCTCAATACACTATTTGAAAAGCCTCTTGGATCAGCTGTAAAATGCATCGTCACAAAGTTAAATAACAAGCCTCAATAGTTCTTCCTCCACTCCCTCTTGGCAAACAGCCACTGAGAGGTGGGACCACACTGTAAGAGAAGAGTTTCAATTTCCCGGAAATGAAAGCTGAAGTTTGTCTGAGCGACAGCAGAGCAGCAGCCGAGACAAGTCTCTGTTTCTCTGAAGAAACACTCAACTGAATCCAGAAGCTTTTTCTCAACAACACAGCAGGACTCTGCAAACACTGGTGAGTACACTACAGACACACATACTTGCCAACCCTCCCGATTTTCGCGGGAGACTCCCGATTTCATTGCCCTCTCCCGGTTTCCTCCCGGGGTCATATTTCTCCCGCATTTCTCCCGATTTCTGACAAAATCAGATTTACTCAGGACTGTTTCCACTCGGACTTTAATACAGCTACACCATTGTTTGGTTTCCATGGTAGCGCGTCTCTTTAGTAGCGCGCGCAACCGAAAGTCTGACGGGCCGTCTCCACGGCAGCGTTAAAAAAATCTTGGAGGTGGGCGTATCTGAAGCTTGGGGATTTTTTTGCGATCAACCAATCACATGAATCTCCCGCCCGCGACATACGAAGCCAAAAAGCCCGAAGTAAACTGGATATAAACTCCCCAAAACAGGCGAAAACATACCACTGTCTCTGCCACCTCCCTCCATGCCTGGCTCCTCCGGTTTATATCCCGGTAGGTCTGGTCATAAAGCACCGGGTGATTGATTCGCTACCGCTAATTTCTCCTCCATTTTTTGGAATATGAGGAAATGATCTGCGGTATGTCTCTCCCAGCATACACGCCGTTTGATTGGCTAGAGCTTGAACTGTCAGATTTGCGTACACGGGATTTGATTGGCTGACGCTTCCTCCTCAGCTTCAAAAGTTGAACATTGTTCAACTTTGGATCTTGAAAATCCTGAGAATCTCCGCTCGCCTGCCCACAATGCATTTCGGCGAAAGCGAAAAAAAGTGACGTCACCCCATTCAAAGTGAATGGGCAGAAGCGTTTCAAGATTTTTTAACGCTGCCGTGGAGACGGCCCGTGAGAGGGTGAGGAAGAACAACAGAACAATTCTACCCTCTTTCCTGTAAAATACAGGTCCAGCCCACACATATGCTCCATCAAGGATGGTGCTACAGGCCGCAAGGCAGTGCACTTACAACTACAAGAAGCATGTTAATGTTAATCTAATACAGCTCCGGCGATCCACTAGCACACACACCCCCCCCCCCCCCCGCAGCCCAGCTGCCCGGAGTCACACGACGGCCCCAGTCTCTCTCCAAAGCGGCTGCAGGAAGACTAACTCTGCGATCCTCTCAACCACCTATCTCTGCATTTACCACAATAAATGTGCCGTGGTTTTGTAAACTCGTGTATGTCTCCTTGTCTTTCCGTTGTGGCCTACGAGCCGGTCATAACAAAGAGTAAGTTATTTTTACCCGTTATAAACTACTACTGTTTGATGAGAAATCAAATCATGGTTTGCTATATATGAATTCAGGGAAGAAAGGATAGGCCTACTAAGTATTTCCATTAAACTTTATTTTTAGAAATGTACAAAATGAACATAAATATACATATATACACACGGTATATCATCCATTCCTCCTCCTCGCATCTTGCCTGCGCACAGTCGGTGCGGTGCCTTTTAGCACGAGGCCTCAGTAGAAGTCCCTTCCCCGTCATGGATTGTCCGCCAGGATCTGGCTGGACGAAATCAAATGCAAATCACAAAATATTAGAGAAACTTAGTTGTTTTAGATTCGTTAGTAGTAGTTGTGTAATGAACAGCTTGCCTGCTAATATGCTAACCTAGCTTTGTTTACCTTGGTAGCTAACACGATATGAACGTTAGCTTGGAGGAAAGGCAACTATAATGCAGTGTAATAAAACTACTATGAACAAAAGCTAGTGGTTCATATTAGGCTAGCAATAACGTGTTTATAATTGCAATCGTATACGGGTATTCTGCTACCATACAATGTAACTTGCATGAATACATTGTTTTGCGCTAGCATACAGCTAGCCTCATTAGCTACATGCAGTATATGTACTGTCACAATGTACGGTAAATCACCCGGAGCATACTGTATGAGTATTCCGTGTGTGTGACTGCAGACATTCTCCTGCCATGACAAACATGTATGCAAGGCCATCTGCTGATATTAGAGTTGATATATGGAAACTCTAGCAACTTAGTTAGCACAGTTAGCACTGTGTCAATGGCTTAGCAGTCCAACACAGTTTACACATTTAAACAGTCTTGTTTGATAAATACACAAATAACAATGCAAACTTACAGGTTGTATACCCAGATCTTCCCCTGCTCCAAACGGTCCAAACAAGCTGTGCATATCCGGCCTCAAACTGGGCAATGTTTTGGAAGCTTTCGTCTGTGAAATGCCGGTTCTTCGAACCTCTGGAGGAGGAACACGCCGCTGCTGGTGTGGCCATAGCTCTTCGGGATTGGTCCATTTCGTTCCGGGTACCGCATGACATCAGGCGGTACCCGGAAGAATCAAATGGGCAGTGACGTATCTCCAACGAGGCGTTTTGGGGAGGTATTTTCTGTGTTAGAGTTTTACTCGCTACAGGGTGTACTTTGAGGGTTTTGACTCTGCACACCGTTTACATGCATAAAAACCTTCATAACACACAAGGGGACGGGTAATAACCGGAAAAGCATGACATGGGAGCTTTAAGCCCTCCCACTATTCTCCAATTTCAGGGTTTAACCAGGAGATGGCGCTATATATTAAATAACTATGGCCAAACTAAGACTTAGTTTTTCACAAGAGAAAATGCAGATATTATATAAAAAACTAAAGTTAAAATCTTGTTTTTAATGCCCCAAGAGCAATAAATCACCGACCCCCCTCTGAGTGAATACCTGTTAACTTAACATCTTTTCACAAGCTTTTTGGAAGAAAAGACTGACCCAAGAGACCTGTAGTTGACTAATTACAGGCCTCAATAAAGTTCTGCCATTGGTTGTGAAAATCAACAGTGGACATAGTGGAAAGTGAAATTGACATTGTCGAAAAACACTTGTTAAAAAAATCCTGAGTGAGGCTTTCATAAATTGCATTTAGCTGACGCTTTTATCCAAAGCAACTTACTATTTGATAAATGATTATTCATAACAAATATGAGTGCAATCAATCCTGCAAATGAACCCTTAGTTGTTCAATATATTTATTCAGACAATGTGAGTAGAAATACAGAAATTCTGCTCCCACCTAAGGCCAACGTTGCAATATTACAACATTTCCCTAAAAACTTACCAAAACGTAAACATTTTTAAAACTCTTTCATTTCTGCTCCAGAGCAGTTAAATTGGGATTTGATATGTGGGGGGGGGGGGGGGGGGGGGGGGGGGGTTCTGTTAGAAGGTGCGACGGGGGAGAGCTGTGATGGGCCATTAGGAGTGTAAACACACAGCTGAGAGCTGCCGTTTCATTCTGACTGTTTAAAAAACGGTAACAACGAACTATTTTTCTTAGCGGATGCATGTACATTTAAATCAATACATACAACTATTTTTTAAATCAATAAAAATATTTTGTAAATCCATAAAAGCATTTTAATTAATATTGGGAGTCATGTCGTTACTTTGTTGAGAATGTGGCCATGTAATAAGCGGGATAATTTACAGCGACTTGGTCATTATGGGGAAAAATAATACCCAGTGATCAAGATCCCTCCGCGACGCGACGCGGAGGGATCAGTAATTTTTAGTGAATTACTGAGTTTAGGCACGTTAATAACATTTTAATGAAGTTGAATACAGTCAACTGTAAATAAAAAGTCATGAAAGAGATAAGGAGGAGAAAAGGTTTAAGGAAGTAAGCAAGGAATACAGAATGTTTCGTTACGTAACTTTGTTGAGAATGTGG